CCCCAAGCTGATCTGATCTGAACGAAGCGTGCAGAGCTGCATGTCGAGTCCGACTTTGTGAAATACCGTTGGGAGCATTTTTTGCTGTACCAGCATCTTTTCAGTGAGGACGAAATGGTGCAACATTTGCCTAGGAGAACATGAAATGGCAGAGCGCCGTTTACAGTGCAAGAGCCCAACGTGCGAAGAATACGGGTTGCTTAAGAAGTGAGCGTACCAACGGAAGGTTCAGCACTGCGAAGACTCGTCGACGTGGGTTATTCTTGATAACGCAGAGAAGCATTTACGTGGGGATACCCCATGCGCCGTTGCTCCTCGCCCGCGCGTAATACCTGAAATGTGACTACATCCAGCGCATGGATGAGAGTGCGGTACCTCCGCGCTTAATCTGGAGTAAACTCCTGCGGGCACCGGAGATTCCGGCTCCGGTTCTCGGGCTCCCAACATGCGCCAAGATCCAGCGCAGTGTGCGTTATAATCGATGGCTACACGGGTAGAAACAAAATCTATACTGTGAAAGCCAACAGTAGAATGAAATTCGGCCTCAGTAGACACCACAAAGTGGCCGACAGCAAACACTTTTAAAACGAAGCCGGGCCAATACAGAAAACAGATCCGAATTACCATCTTGTGCCCGGTGTTGCACAGTGTGCAGTGCACACTGTGCATTCCTGTAAATGCTGTGTAATAGGAGTCGTGGTACATGTCCTTTGACAGCAACGTCAAGTAAAAGCGTACGTATCGATAAATTCATATACGATATATGTAAATGGAACTACTGGTGCCGTATTCCACTATCTTAGCTAGTTGGCGCTGTAGTGAGTTCCTCGCCTGACTTATCTTTGAGACTTTAAAGCCACCTTTAGTAAGCGCCTCAATCTGCCACATGATTGACGCTGGCTTGTGATTGTCGATGTGCGTTTTGATCTTGTACACGTAGTGGAGCATGCAGATACCGCAATCAACTGGGTTTGATTGGCGCGGTTTAGTCTCGTACGAGTACGCAGTTCCTGTAACGCTCCTTGCCGCTAGTACCGTGTTTGCCCAATCGAGCACGGCGAAGATGTGCTTGGAGTCGTGGCCACCTTGCACTGAGTCTATGTGGTAGTACAGCTTGGATCCGTCCGTACAATTCTGAATTTCCACAAAACTCCAGTGTTCTTGTAGATTGATAGGCAAGAGCACATACTTGTAAGTGCTCCAATCTCCTTGCAAATCCGAAGAGCTCTGATTCGGTGTTGAGCGATTCGCATAGGCGCACGCGATAAAGAAAAATACTACAGAAGTGCAAGCCAGCGAGAGAGAGGGTGTTGGTCTTGTAAATCGAGTAATACAGAAATCCACCACAGAGTTTGTGAGCATGTTGCCCTCGCGGATACTGGTCAGGTCGTCTACAAAAAGAGGAATAGAGACTTGAACTGCCTCAGACGCGCCAGTGCCTTGATCATGAACAAGGACAAGTGCGGAATTGTCTGGTCGCTTCTTCAGGTTGTACCCACCCACTAAAGGTGTTCCTGCTCGGGATGCAGCACCGCCTTCTTTATTCCTTCTGATCGCTGCACTTGGTCCCAATGTGGCCACATGACTTGCTTTCTCCTCCAGTCGCTCCCCTGCGGGACGCCCGGCTCGACCACAACTGAGTCATTATCTGATTCGTCACAAGCATCTGAGTCACAACCTGATTCCTCATATTCTGAGTCGCTTTCAGAATTCTGCGCTGCCTTATCGCTTAGTGTGTGCCCTTTGGTCACAGCTCGAGGAGCCTCAGTACATGATAATCACCTTCAGTGCGTAAATTGCGCGGGTCGTATCACCTCATAAAGCGCCTCGCACGCGAGCGCTGAGTACTGAAATTTAGTATAGCGAAAGCCGGGATTGTGCGTAGGTACGCAATAAAATCCGAATATTCCACAACTCCGTCCTCTCGCAGGCACCGATCGAAATACTCCAACGCTTGATATTCGTAAGAGGCCGGCTTGTAGCGTCGGCCCGCACCTTTAGCACGATAGCGCTGTCCTTCTTCACTCGAAGGCTCGGGTTGGTCCCAGTATTTTTTTTCCAGCTCAGTAGCTTCGGCCGATCAACCCCCAGTTGTCGCACCGCCTCGCCCGTAGACCACTCCGTATAGCCCTCTCCATAGCTGAATCAGGGACCACTGCTCACACACTCTCGTCTTGGTATGCATTTTGGCTTTTGAAGAGAAGAAAGCAGAGCCACACGTTCCGAAGGCGTTCGGTTAGCAGTAAACCGGTTACTTAAATTTGAACCGGTTACGTAAATGTGAACCGCCGGTTTCAATAGTCAGACTTTTGTGAACAGATACATTAATTTGACTTAGTCACATTATTGTGAACCAGAATAGCCGTGCACAATTATCTAACAGTCAGATTGTATTGAACCAAACGCGCGGTGCAAAATAATGTAACAGCTTAGCGCAACAAGATAAGATAGCGGTTCATCTTTAAAAGTAAGATAAAATTGACTTGCCCTCTGAAGCTGTATTGAAGAGATTAGTCTAACAAGTACTGAATATCCAATGCATGAGAGGCTAAAGGAGGTCTACCAGCTCTGTTACCAGCAGTGATAACCGCTGCAGGCGGGGGATAAAGTTGTGGTGGCATGCTCCACAAATTGCCTCTGAACACATTCTCCGAAAATGACCGCAGCGGTAAAAATGACTCGGAAGCTTCCTCATGTCGTGGTTCAGAGTACGCCGTATTAGAATTCCAGTAACGGAACTGCGAATCGCCTCGTGGGTCTAATAGGCGTCCGACCGCAAGACGGAAGGACTGGCGTTTACAGTCTCCGGGGACGACAGAAACTATGTGCCCCTGTACTTGTTTATCCCAGCACTACAGGGACTGGTGCGGCGGTCAGTGTTTCGATCCCCTCTTTGCTGATGACATCGCCAGCGTGAAAGAGGGGAATCCAATCACGAATTCGATAGTGGACTATTGCATCTCTCGATAGACAGGACCAACACCATATATTGTGTTGCCTGTAAGGTCTGCTGTGTTTTCTGCTATTAACTACGCGTATATCAAGCACTCGGGCCCTACATCCAGCGCTCCTGAAACACTCGGTGATTTTGATTGGAATGGCTACAAATATGTATTGCTTCCAGTTAATCTCAATGACCACTGGAGTTTATTAGTAATTCAGAACTGTTGCGACGGAAGAAGGCTATATTTCCACGTTGACCAAGTGATGGATGTACACGACAAGCAGTACATATTCGCATGTCTGGATTGGTGGTTTCGTTACTTCGTACGGCTCAGACGGGATACGAGGTGGCTCAAGGCTTCGCTTACATGTGTAAACCGCGCCAGACTAACGAGGTATGCTGCGGTATCTATATGCTGCGCTACCTGTACAGTATCCAGAAGCACATCAACGAGCACAAGCCTATGTCAATTCTGTCTCAAATCGAGTCACTCGTCAAGGGTGACTTTAACTCCAACAAGGCAAATCAAGCCAGGAAATCGCTCCTATGCCAGCTATCTAAGACTGCTTAATTGCACGAATTCTTGCTGCACTTTAACTCAATTGATTCATTTTTACTTGACTTTTCATCTGCGTTATTGTACACTATGTCGAACTTGGAAGAGCCCCACTGTTTCAGCGTCGGGCTCAAGACGAAAGTCACATGAAACTCCTGGGCACAGATTTGCTGTGTGGCAGCGTGCGCGTAGTCGACATCACGACGGCTGCTCTTGCACTGGCCTTTCTACGAGTCAAAGTGTTTGCTAGTGGCTATATTGCGGTGTATATTGGTGCCGATTCTCATTCTATTGTGGGCTTTCACACATTTAATGTAAGCGGGCATCGGTTCCCCCTTTCGAGTAAAAGCCGATCGTAGACTTGAAATCAGCACCAGCAACCTCGCAGAAGTAGCCAAAAGCAAAACAGTATGTGTTAAGGCCGCGGCGCCACGTTGGGACAATTGAGAGCCGGATTCACCATGTGTGCAGCGAGTCGCTGAGCACGACGACAAAATGCACCGGCGACAGCATCTAGTTTGGGGGGAGCACGACGGTGGGAGCAACTGCATTAAAATAGTATGTGCAGGACCAGCAAGACGTCCTACATCCATTACTTGAATTGTTTAATGAACGATTTTTAGACAGTATATTTAAAGCACATTAACATATAGCGATAGCGTAAGTACTGTAGCTGACTGCGGAAAAGAGCTCCATCCGTGCTTGGACACGCTGCTCCACAAAACATTTCACATGCTAGCAACACGAACACTCCACAGTTGTAGCTGTCTTGTTGAATACCGATATCGAATTCAAATTGCCGAATATGATACCTCATACGCGGAGATTTTGAGGGTGGTAATAGCTTCACAATTTCCTTCGCAACGTCGCTGACTTGTTCTAGGCTGAAAAAAAACCATGAGATCGTAGATGCGCACATCGGCATCAGACATATCGATCATAATGCAGCACCAATGATCTCCACCACAGTTAATAGGGAGAATAACGATCTCGTTTGACAAATGTGCAAAAACCTTCGCTAATTGCTTCACGTCCACACTTACAAAGCCGTCAATTATGACTGCGTGTTCTGCAGGTTCGATGTAAATGAGATCACTTCGTGCAGCAAAAAGGGCTTGCATAACTGCAGTTAGAGTCATATCCCCCAGAGACCCCTTAGCAGCGAGGTCGAGATGCTCCATCTACAACATACATAGTCCATATTAGATTGTGATAAGGGAAAATAGTTTTTTTTTACCATTTGATAACTTTTCCAGGTTAGAATGAATTGGCATGTCCTTCAAACTTTCTTCAAAAACAATTCTCGCTTGACTTGATATTCTTCCGCAACTGCAGCCAAAAACTCGATTCACGAAATCCACGAGAACGTTGAATCAAGTAAATCAAATTTTTCAATCACTTTATGGCATCGCGCCATAATAATGGTAACAGACGTCGGAAAAATTCCAATTTCGCTTATTTCAACAACTATTTCTTTCTCAAAAATATTCGTTTTCGTTTTTTTTTGCAGCGGGTATACCTTCGAGTTGCTGGTACGGATGACATCCATAGGCAGTATCCGAGTAACTTGGCTTGAATCAATAATAGATTCCCTGGCAGTTTATTTTTTAAATAGGCTCTGATCTTCGGTGCGCGGCCAAACTGATGAAGTCGGAACCCCTAAAAACAATAGCTGCCTCATACGTCGGTTTTCTTTTCAAGCAGAACTGCACTGATTTGATGCTGAGTTCAGACCGAACAGGCTCTTGCTCTTCTTCGTCCGTGTTCATCTGGACATCAGTGGAGTTGCTATGTAGGTCGCCAGGTCCATCTCCTTGCACCGCGATTTCTTCGATACTCGTGTCGACGACAGCGAAGGCGGACTCAGCCACAACTTGCCTAGTTTGAGTAGGAATTCCGGGAGTTTGACCGACAGCTGCTGTCGAGGAACCAGCCTATAGTTTGGGCCGCTTCACAAAGCGTTTCACACGCGTGCGCCTTGTGTCAATTTTTTTTTTTGCAAATTCAGGTTTATTAAGAGAATACGCCATAATATCAGCAGATGTAACTTTTCCGTCTTCTCGTAAACATATGTCATGATATTCCAGCACCTCATACTAGTGCGATTCCATCTTGTACGGACG